GCGACGAAAAAGGTAACGGCGAAGGTCGGCACGGTGAAGAAGACAACGGCGGCGGCACCTGCGGCGAAGACGGCGGCTGCTAAAACCGTGTGTTCCATCTTCTCTTTTCTGTCACCGCTGAGTTTATTCATTCTCCCAAACTCCCAGGTTGCGACGAAAAAGGTAGCCGCGAAGGTCAGCACGATAAAGAAGGCACCGAAGGCAACTGCAACCAAGAAAGCCGTTGCTGCGAAGACGGTGTGTTACATCTCGTTCGTTAATTTCTCCGCTGATTTCGTCTGCTTTGCAAAGTCCAAGGCGCCGTTGGCAACTGCAACCAAGAAAGCTGTGGCTCCCAAGACGGTGCGTTATAACCCCTTCTTTTATTTTACGGCTGATTTTTGTGCGCCGCAAAGTCCAAGGCGCCGACGGCAGCTGCCAGCAAGAAAGCCACTGCCACCAAGACCGTGTGTTCTATGTTTTTCTCTCATTTCTCCGCTCATTCCCTATGCCCCGCCAGGTTAAGGCCGCGAAACCTGCCAAGCCGTGCGTTCCATGTCCTTGTTTAAATTCCTTTTCCGTGCTCATTTCTCCGCTCCCCAATTCAAGGTCGGGAAGCCCGCCACGAGCGTCAAAGCCGTGTGTCCCTTGCCGTCACTCCATTTCTCCGCTGATTCTCTGCGGTCCCCAGGCTGCGAAAGTCTCCAAGACTGTGAAATCTGCTGCGAGTGACAAAGCTGTGTGTGCCGTTCCGTTATTTCATTTACTCGCTGATCGTCTGTGCTCCCAGTCCAAAGCCGGAAGGTCTCCAAGACTGCGAAAGCCGCTGCGAGTGCCAAAGCCGTGCGTTCAGTTCCGTTATTTTATTTTCCCGCTAATCATCTATGCACCCAGTCTAAAGCCGCGAAACCCGCTGCAAGTGCCAAAGCCGTGCGTTCCATGCCGCTCTTTTATTTCCCCGCTAATTATCTGCACTCCCTCAAGACCCAGAAAACAGCGGACGATTCCTCGACGGCACCGAAGACCAGCGACCCTTCCGCTACTGACCCTGTGCGTTCCCTTGCTCGTATACTCTTGCTGGTGCTGATACGCATTCCAGACGGCTGGAGAGTCCACTACCGATGAGGGGACTGCGGAGTCCACTGAGGCTGGGAGCGATTCCACCGACGCCGAGGCTGGAACCGACTCCACCGACGCCGAGGCTGGAGACGAGTCGGAGTCAGCACCAGCGGAGGAGGATCCGGCAGCGGCGGAGGAAGCTCCCGCGGCCAACGCTTCGACGACCGATGACGCTTCAGCGGACACTACGACTGAGGACTCTCCCGCAGCTGACTATTCGACGGCCGCGGACGCTTCGGCGGACACTGCAGCTGAGGACGCTCCTGCGGCTGACGCATCAACGACTGAGGACACTCCTGCGGCTGACGATTCGGAATCAGCAGCGGAGGAGGAAGCCCCAGTGGCTGACGACTCGGCAACGGATGACGAGACGGCGACGGAGGACGACACTTCCGCAACGGATGATTCGGCAGCGGATGACGAGACGGCGACGGAGGACGATTCGGCGACTGACGATTCGTCGGCAGAGGTAGATCCCACCGCGGAGGACGACACTCAGCGGCTGACGATTCGACGGCAGAGGTGATCCTACCGTGGAGAACGACACTTCCGCAGCTGGCGGTTCGGCGGTTGCTGACGATTCGGCGGTTGCTGACGATTCGGCGGTTGCTGACGATTCGGCGGTTGAGGAGGACCCCTCAGCGGACGAGGAAGGTGTGGCGGAGGACGGCGAGGGCATTACGACGGACGAGACGGACGCAGAAACCGCAGACGATGCGGCGGTGGACGAGGACGGCGCTGTCGTTGACGACAGCGAGGCTTAACGTACCAATTAACTTTCCCTCTTATATCTTGCCTTTTTAATTGCTATCTTTCCCTTTAATTGCCATGTGTTGAGTCGTTTCCGGCAGTCAGTCCCAAGATCAGGCGCCACAGAAAGTAAATCATCGTGTAGATTGACATTACTGTCCAGAGGAGGCGGAGATGCGGATACAGGATACACTGGATCAGGAGCAACATAAATACCACGGAGCACATACCCAGATGAAAGCGAGGAGACAACGAACTAGAAAGAGAGAGAGGGGAGAAGGGAATGGTTAGGCAGCGGCGGCGGCGGGCGGGGCGTCGCCCTCCGTTCCCTCGCGATGGAATCTACGCGGCGTCAGTTTGGGTAGGGAAGAATGGCAGCAAAGGGAAAGGAACACGACGCACCCGATATCTCCGCAAGCATCATCGCCTTCCACTGCTCGCCCTCGAGCTCCGCCTCGTTGAAGCTCCAGTCGAACGGCGCGGGCGCGGCGGGCTCGTCCGACTCGTCGGCGTACGGCCCCACGTAAACGTCCGCGAGGCCCTCGGCGGCGGTGAGGCGCGTTGCCGGGTCGAAGATGAGCATTTTGTCAAGCAGGGATAGGCTGGTTCGATGAACAGATAAATGATAAAAGAAGGGAGATGGAAAGGGGAAGTCAGCGAGCGGGAAGAGGGGCGAGGGCGCGGGCGCGGACCGTCTGCGTCCTTTGTGCGGAGGCGGTCGGTCAGGGGCATGCGTGCGTGTTTGGGGAGGCCTTCGACGAAGCGCTGCGTCTGGGGGAAGCGTGAGTTGCAGAAATGTTTGGTATGTTGAGGGACGGACGTTCTCGTTGGTGATGGAGGCCATGACGTTCGGCGGCGGGGTGCCTAGCAGCTCGGTGATGATCTGGAACTGGTTTACGTCTGGGCGTAAAGCATAAATCAGCGTCTGTGTGAGCGAGGGGAAACATCGAGCGGAAGGATCATTGAGCGCAGGGGAACACCGGGCGAAGAGGAACAGACAGGATGCAAAAGACAGCGGAACAAAATAAGACGAAGAACAACGCACGGTCCTTGCCCGGGAATAACGGCTTCCCCTCAAGCATCTCCGCAAAAATACACCCGACGCTCCAGATATCCACCGCGGCGTCGTACTTCTGCCACGTGAGCATGATCTCGGGCGCGCGGTAGTACCGCGTCGTGACGTAGCCCGTCATCTGCGCGTCTTGCACCCGTGCCAGCCCGAGGTCGCAGATCTTCGGAGAATGAGTTGGCGCTGAATATTCGAATTATAAATAGAGGTGGGTACCTTGAGATCGCAGTTCTCATTGACAAGGATGTTGCTCGGTTTCTGCATTAATTGGCGGAATTAATATAGGATATGTGGGAAGAAGGGTAGGACGTACGAGGTCGCGATGCACCACGCCGGCTGAGTGCACGTATTTGAGTCCGCGCTGGTCAGAAAAAGCGATGAGATAGATGCACATGTGGATGTACAGCGCAGAGGAACGCACGAGCATCTGGTAAAGAAAGTACTGCACGAACTGCTTCTCGAGCGGGCGCGACTCGAGCAGGCGGTGGAGATCCGTGCCGAGAAGCTCTGTCACGAAGTACCTGTGTCGTATCATTAATATCAGCGGCGCTACAACGGTAGGAGCGTACAGATCCTCCAGGGGCGAAATGAACACGTCCCGCAGGCTGATTATCTGCGGGACAGACACCGGTTAAGAGGACCGTGGAATAAGTAAGAGCACGAGGCCACGGACGTTCTCGTGCCGGAGATGCCGCAAGAGCTTGAGCTCGCGGTAGGTGCGCTTGCTGAGAACGGGCGTGCTGAAGGGCTTCGCGATCTTCTTGATTGCGACGGACGAGCCGGTGAGTTCGTCGTTGGAGGAGCTGGGGAGCTTAGCATCTAAAAACATGGTCTCGATCAGCCTACATTATACATACCATACGAGCCCGAAAGCCCCTTGGATCACTGATTAGACCATTGAAAGTATGCGCGAGCACTGGCAAACGCACCCATCCCGACCGGCTGCAGGTTAACGTAGCGAGTAGTCACCTATGTATATGCACGCAGATTTAGCAACGACTCGGACGCGCGTCGCGGATTATGGCAGGATCCTGGATCGGAAGACGTACCTCGAAAGAGGTGCCGAAGATACTGAGTTTTACAAACGACATTCTCGCGTGTTCGAGGACGAGAGACCCGGACGAAGAAAAGATTTCTGGGGAAAGAGGCGGGAGGATCTTCACGGGCTGTGGAGCAGCGAAATCACGGTAACTGATGTGACTATCCGGCTCGCTTGGTTTAAAAAAAATGCTCCCGGGCGAATTTCAGCCTTTTGAAGGATACCAGCGCGGCCAAAGAAACCCAGAGGTGTTGCTGATTTTTATTTATTTGCTCCCTCATATTATTGAGGCCTTGCGGGTCAGATTGGAATTCAACGCAAACGACGCGTATGGCAATGACGCGTTGTTTGTCTCAGCGTCCGCAGTGCCTTGATCGATCGCGTTTGATGGTCCAGCCCGAAACGGATGCCAAGTCAGGCCGAGCCCCAACGAATGGTTGTCGATGTTATGCCATAGCAGTAATTATTCGCGTATTAAATTTGTCGGGGACCCTACATGTGAGAATTAGGTCTGAAATCGGAGTACTAGTTTCGCTTGAGCTAGGTATTTATGTCGAAGATTTAGCAAAGAGGCACTTCGTTTGGGCACTCCTTTTCAGCTTGTGTTGCGACGTCAACTTATGGTCAGACGAGGCCCCTCCGAATCAAATTATCGTTGGTTTGAATATCCACCCGCCAACCTAAGCATGACTGTATTTGTATCTTGCATCCATCTTTTCGAACGGACGGCCGCGGCCCCTAAATATGTCCATGTACTTGGTGAGTGTCTTCCCTCAACGCCGCCGTAAATCGGGTAGATCATTCTCTCGGCATATCCAAGGGTTCGGGGTTCGAGTACAAGAGATATGAGTGAGCTGTGATGGTGCTATAGTTGTGCTCCAGTCAGCGACGTGCCGTGGTACTGTCAATTCCCTGCGGGTTGAGGTCATTTTCATCAGGTAACAGTGGGATGTCAGTTCGTCAGCCCTTCAACCGAGTCCGCGAGGGCTAACGGCTCTCGAATTTAGTGATACATTTCACGGTGTTCCGCAACAGAGGGAGAACGCCGCCGTGGACCGTGGTGGATCGTCCTTGCCTTGTCAAGCACTGCTAGAAGTCTGGAGAAAGGCGTGGGTTCAACTCCCACCGGCGGCATGCACTTTGAGCTCCTAATTTTTAGGGAAATATGCAAGTACTGTACTTTTTCGATCAATTCGACAGGCGCGCGTTACGGACCCCCTGCTAGTGTCGAAATATGGCAGAGGTTCATGGGTCACGGAAGGGTCTGTCGGATGGAATGTTGGTCACGGCCGGCCCAAATCGCGCTCAGCGACGCAAAAAAAGGCAAAATTTTGCGGCCCGGTGTCGAAATTTTGAGGGGTGTTGGGTTCCCAGCTTTGCCGAATTGTCGAACTGGTATTTTGGGTCACGGGTCACACCCCCTGTCGAATTGATCGAAAAAGTACAGTACCTAGGGCGTCTGTACGGCGAACCTTCTAGCTTTTCGTTTGCTTTCAACTTAAATTATTCTAGGGCGAGGAAACCAAAGAACAGAGGATATCGCTGAACGATGTGGGTTTAATAGAGAGGTTGCGTACACGCCATTGGAGCCATTTGATGGCATTTCGGCCGTGCGCCAACGAATGGCTTCACTGCTAAAATATGATCAATGGCTCCACAATGGCTTGTGGGGCCACTCACGCGCTATTTGTGCGCACGGTCCGAGAGCCACTGAATGGCTCCAATGGCGTGTGCGCAACCTGTCTAATTAGTGCACCAATATCGAACTCGCGCAGTTCCCAGGAATCGGTTTCTACGTAGAGAGACACCGTCGGATCGCTGGTGGATCGAGCATACCGTCGTTCGTTTCTTTTTCTGTCTTTATGTTCTCAATGAATGCTCGGACGTCACCTATGATCTTCCCCAGAATCGAAGCAGATCTCGTTTGTTCATTATCGGGTATCCTTGTATGATCTGCTAGACTCGCTACCAGTACGTTTTGGTAAGCCATCAGTTGATCACGGCAAGCGGGGGATCAAGGCTTCCTAAAACGACTGGAACATTTGGGCGTGATTTTGGCGGGACCCGCCAAACATGAGTTTGGACTTGGGGTTTTGAGGGTTTGAGTCTTCAGAAAAAGTGTAAAAAGTTGTATAGAGAAAGTTGCTCCCCGTTGAAATCTGAATCGAATGAGCCTAACTTGTTTTTCGACTTTAGGTGAAGGTGCTCAACGTCGTCGGCGCACGGACCAGTTGACGATGTGGAGCACCTTCCACCCAAATCGAAAAAACATGTTGGGCTCATTCAATTTAAAATATGAAAATACACCACTTTCATGCAGAGACTTTTTACACTTTTTACACAGATTGCACCCTTTCCAATTCTTAACGATCTGCATCTACAATTATAATGGATCTTGGCACTTTGTGCACGTAGACCAAATATTCGAGCCTACATGCCTCGTATTTAATATTTATTTCTCACGGTTGAACACTGCCTCGCCTCCGTGTCCGAGCCCCGGTCATCGTTCGGGCATCGAGTCATTCACCTCGTGGATGACTCGGGCACTGGGCCATTATTCTCTGACTCTGCCTGAGTCATAGCTGTAGCTCTACGTATATAAAGGGTGTCTTTCCCCTCTGTGAAGACAATCTTATCATCTACTACTTGCAATCCAACCACCGTGAAACCTTCGCTTACTGTCACGATTCAAAGCCAATCTTATCGTGACAACACCTATCTTAGCGCTCGAGATAGTGCCCGATGACGACCCCCGGGAGAATGCCGGATAATTGACGGATGGTTACCACGAGGAAGTTATTTATATTACGACACATGGGGACGGAACACAATGATCGGACAGCTGTCAAACATTGACAGAAGAACACGAAGCCTAGAGACGATATCCATGCTTGACGAGCAAGGTTATTGTACGGACAACAATAGCGTAGTTAGTTCTCACGGTTTGCTCAGCAGTATAAGTAGTGTACGCTTTCGCTTGTAGTCTTTAGTCTTTTATTCCATCTCATTTCGAGACTCACATCCGCACTACCCAATCCCTCTCATCTTACCGAAAGTGGACGCGAGAGCCTTGATTGTGACACTTATCGCTACTTGCATGATACTCAACCCGGGCCACCAGCGCTCATCTATTCTCTTTGCTTTGACAGCAGCCTTACATATTTGAACTACGATGCTAGCTCTGGTTTAAATCTAAGACTTCATTGGTGAAAGCTTCCGTGTTACTGATTATATAAAGGTTCCAGTATTTGAACCCAAATATAAGTCATATTCCCTCTTGGAAAGGTATTACATTCAGTAAGACCAATCCATTCAAGGTTATTGCTTACCCCGCGATACCCATTTTACCACAACAATTGTCGCTGACCTCCGGCCCGCGAGGTGCTGAATCTAGCGCAGTCAACGGAGTTTCCGTGGAGAAAAGAAAGCCGTCATGGATGATGGTGCATCCTCAATTCAACCATATGAAATGACCTGCAACTGTTGATCTTGAGACACGGTATGTTAAAATCCCTCGCTAATCAATAAATCATCAACCTCGGTCCGATACTACCTGTCAATTACCATTGAGGTGCGTGCTATTCTCCTTGCATTTCATCTCATTCAGTAACTGAGCTTAAATTTAACCTCAGTTGAATATTCAACGGAACCTAGGCCAATGTTCCGAACTCGCTCGAGTTGAGTCTTGTCCCCTTTCCTTCCTCGATTACCTTTGCCCCGAACTTGAACCTAACGGATAGAGGTATGAAATTATGTTTTCGAAGTCTGGTTATGAGAGACTAACTTGAATCTGAGAAGGATTCCGGTATCCAACCAGGTGCGTTCTCTGGTAGTGCTGCTTTCACAAGTAACGAGCAGATAATAGGTATCGAGGCTCCGAGTTGGGATCTGTTTAGAGGTAAGTTCTATACTTCTGGACCGCTTAGCTCGGCGCCTCTTCGACGCATCTCTTCATGTTCTCCCCTTCTCCCCGCCATCCTAGGTGCACATGCCAATAATTTGGGTACCCAAATTCACCGCACTTATAACTAGACCGGGACGTAGAATATTATATTGGACTGAACGGTAAGTCGCACCCAAGACACAACCTTTACTTGAGTTGAACTGAATGCCAGTTTGAAATGTGCTTGAGCAAAAACCATTATAGGAAAACCAGCGGGTCTAAAGAAACAGGTTTTGAAACGAGGGCTGAAGAAAAGAGATGATTTCCAAGTCCAGCTAAAAATGTGCTTGAGCCAAAACCATTATAGGAAAACGGACAGGTCTAAAGAAATATGTTCTGAAAAGAGGGCCGACGAAAAGAGTCCATTTCCAAGTCCAGCTGAAACAATGCTTGAGTGAAAATCATTATAGGAAGACCAGCAGGTCTAAATAAATGTGTTATGAAAAGAGGGCTGAAGAAAAGAGTCCATTTCCAAGTCCAGCTGAAACGGTGCTTGAGCCAAAACCATTATAGGAAAACGCAGGGCCTTAAAGAAATGGGTTTTGAAAGAGGGTCGAAAAAAAGAGTACATTTTCCAAGTCCAGCTGAAAACGTGCTTGGAAACCGTCTCTTTTCTTCGGCCCTCTTTTCAGAACTCGTTTCTTTAGACCTGCTGGTTTTCCTATAATGGTCTTGGCTCAAGCACGTTTTCAACTGGACTTGGAAATGTACTCTTTTTTTCGAGAAAAGAGACGGTTTCCAAGTCCAGCTAAAACGGTGCTTGAGCCAAAACCATTATAGGAAAACCAGCAGGTCTAAAGAAACGAGTTTTGAAAAGAGGGCCGAAGAAAAGAGACGGTTCCCAAGTCCAGCTGAAACGGTGCTTGAGCGAAAACCATTATAGGAAAACACGGGGCCTCAAAGAAGCGGGTTTTGAAAAGAGGGTTGAAAAAAAGAGACCGAAAGCCAGGTCCAGGGGAAACGGGGCTCGGAGCGAGAAACCACTATTAGGAAAGGCGCGGGTTTAAAGAAGCGGGTTTTCGAAGGAGGGGCCGGAAAGGGAGGAAAAGGCCAGGTCCAGGCGAAACGAACAAGGAAGCGGAAAAGTATAAGGAAGGGGGCCACTATAAGGATTGGACCTGGCCCCAGGTCCACGGATCAGATATATAGTTCGTGTCCTCGGGTAACATAATCATCGAAGTCTAGAGTGTAGCCCAAAGTTATCGAATGCCTCGTTGGACTGACCGAAATGACCAAAGTCGAACATCGGCATAGATGCTAGTGGAAAGGAAGGGATGACGGCGGATTCCAACGATGGAACGTATGGGTACACCGGCGCGAAGGGGGCCTGATTGTGGACTGAATTTTGCAGTCATAGTTGCATAAGATGGCACTATTTAACTGTAGGGGTCGATTGCGTACCGTTGGTGTACATGGGTATCAGTGTCGCAGCAAAGTCGGAGCTCCCTTCAATTTACATTGAATTAATTATCCGAGAACGTAGGAACGAAATGAACATACCGTTTGAAAGTGTTGTCGGAAAAACGCCAGTCAGCATGCAACGGCTTGTTACAGCATGTGTCCTTGGAACGGCATGGAGTGCTTCAAACGTCCGGCAAATAGGCTTAGAACCAGTCTGATGCTGTTCAAAGGTTTGATCTGAGTTGCAAGCTGCCGCAAGTCGTCCCGAGGGACGCGTATATTTTGAGGGTCAGAAAGATATTATGGGTCAATTCTCGGTGCCGTAGAGGAGTGATTTGATGCATTGAGGTGGTTGTATTTTTTCAACCACTCTCGCTCTCGACATCCGACAGCTGTGGGGCCCGTGTGAAATGCCTTCAGCCGAGCCTCACCTAGCTCCACCTAGCTCCACCCGGGACGACGACCAACGTACATAACTCTGTTGACGACCTCTGAATATTTTCACACCCACGTATGCGTGTGTTAAGCACTTCATTTAAAGTAAATTGAACAGTCTCTCTGCTTTACTGACTTCCGTGATCCGTGATTCCGTGATAACAATCATTACTCACTTACCTGGTTGCGTACTGACTGAAAACGACTTCTTCATTAACTGTGACTGCAAAGAGCTCGCCTTCATAGAGAAGAACGGGAATGTACAAATTTTGTTACCTTTCTGGAACTTATCTCAGAAGGCGTTAGAACCCCGACGTGGCTTGGAAGCACTTCCAAGATTCCCAGATGTGTCCTG